GGTCCAAGAAAATGTCGTCGTTTGATCTCTTCTCCACCAAAGAAACTCGTGAAGACTTGAGTGACTTCGACAAGGCGTGGTCGAAGTCACTAAGGGACCGGCTTCCTCTCCTCCGGGAACAGGCTTCGTCCTCCGCCGTCGCCGAATCCACCACCGTTACTCTGTTCGTCCGACACTTGACCTCTTACTTCGATTGCCTAAGCTACTCTGCGAATCCGAACACCATACTTGACCTTCTCTTCCCTCCATGGCGCAAATCTCTCGAGATGCCGATTCTCTTCCTCGGCAATATCCATCCTTATCTTCTCACGAGCCTCCTCCGATCTCTGGCCAATACAGAAGTGCAGGATACGGAATCTCTTGGTCTTTTTATCGATCTCGAACACTCGAGCCCACCTGCGTGGAGTAACAAGAACGATCTGATGACAAGAATGGAGGAGATCGAGCACGAGATGCAACGTATTGTCACTTCTTTACTGGATCGAATGATGCAAGCACAGAAACGTTACATGGAGAAAAGGGTTGCGTCTTACTCTCACAGGGAAACGATTCTGGATCATGACTTGATGAATGAGCTTGCGAATATCTTCGTGGAAGCCAACGGATTAAGGAAGACTGTGCTCAATGAGATCGTTGCAGCTACAAACGCACGCCAAAAGGCTCTGTTTCTTGAAGGTTTATGCGAATTACTTTCTGGGTTTAACGATCAGGTTAGTCTCCAAGATTTACATTCGATTTTGATTAGGGTTTTTTCTTCTTGTTTTGGGGTTTTACAATAGGCAAGTTTTGATTTTTTCCCCCCCGATGAGATTAGGAATTAGGGTTAGTTACTTGAACTGTGGAATTAAGAGAAAACAGAGGTTTCTGTGGAATTGGTGATCGGATGCTACTTGTCGAGTTGAGTGGAACTGTTTCCTCTGTTTTGTTTTTGACTTTCAAGCTTTGGGACTTGTTCAATTCTTAGCTTTTGGTGAAAAAATGATAAGACTTTGTAGTTTGCTGTGTGATTTGATGAACAAAATTGGACGAGTTTAAAGATCAGGTTAGGTTAGTCTCCGAGATTTACAGTCTTTCTCATGGTGAAACATTCGATTTTGGTGCATTGCGGATTTGATTAGGTTTTTTTTCTTGTTTTGGGGATTTGATAAGTAACTTGATAGGCAAGTTTATACTTTTAGGGTTAGTTTTGAACTGTGGAATTCTTATTCTATTGAATTGGGTTGATCGGATGCTAGTTTTGGAGTTGAGTGGAAGTGTTTCCTCTGTTTTCGTTAGACTTTCAAGCTTTTTGACCTTTTTAATTGTCTCTGGTCGAAATTGTTAGACTTTGTAGTTTGTGCAATTCATATATTGTTTGTGATTTGATGAAGAGAATTGGAAGATTTTATTTTATTTGCAGAGTATAGATTTCAATAGGTCACAGTTTCAGGAACTATAGATTGTAATCAAAGTTTCTGTAATTTCAGAATAATCAATCCGCTGCTTCTCCGGTCATGATCCAGCAGCCTCAGCCGCAGCCTCCCCGTGTACCAGAAACCTACTGTATATTTGTTGGTGATTTGTCTCCGGATGTCACAGATCAGATCCTTCTAAAGGTGTTCGCAGCTCGATACCGTTCCGCGAAACCTGCAAGAGTCATTGTCGACAATGACATCGGAGTGAATAAGGGTTACGGATTTGTTGGCTTCGAAGATCAGAGAGATCAACGTCTTGCGATGGAACAGATGAACGGTCAAATGTGCACGACAAGGCCTATGCGAACCGGTCCAGCAAGAAACTCAAGTGTTTAGAGTTTCATTTCTTCTTCTTCTTAGAAACTCAGCTCATCAGT